AGAGTAAACAAAGGTCAATGAAGGACAATTGACAGCCCAATGACAGATGTTAAAAGCTTACAAAAAAAGGAAGAAAATATGAATTTGGAACAGTTGAAGGAGCTTTAAGCAACTGTGTGAATATTGAAACGAATCATTTATGCTTCAATAATGATGTTATGCTTTTCAATCAATGACATAAAGTTTGAACGAAAGGCTGCCTTTTCAGTTATTCTTATGTGAGCCACACATTCGCCATCTCTCGTTTGGCAAAAAAGAAGCGTCCAACCACAAGGTTTTTAATCCACCTTGTGTTCATTTCAACACTTTTACACAGAAATTGATGTAAGGGAGAATTAACAATCATTCTATTGGACCTCAATACACGCAGAGTGACGATGTTTGATGAAAATCCTTTTTGCAAAGAAAATAACAACAAAAATCAATAAGTTAATAAGCCATGGGGAGAGAGATGAGTGGACTTGTGGTGAGGGGACGTGAGGCTGTAATTAGAAGACGTCAATATGCATAAAAATCCTTATATGTCAAGATAAAACACTCGGTTGAAAAGACTTTTAGAAGTGAGGAGTATTCATTCCGCCAATCGATTCACGTCACTTAGTGGAAAATGGCCCGGAGGACATGGAAGGAGAGACCACAAAAGGAAAGTAAGCATAACAAGTTACCAGAGAAAGTCTTATGAAGAAGAATGAGGAGAAGAGGATCTTCTTAAGTGACTAATATCATGAAGGAAAAAACAAGACGAAAGAAGATTGCTGACCAACTATCTAAATCCAAATATGTTTGAAAAAGGAAATTTCAACGGATTGAAGATATGAGCCGATCAATTGAAGAAATTGGACTTTGACAGCAACGAAATAGGTCAAACAGTCTATGTGTTTATAGAAACAAGAACTTAACTATATGAAATATATATTATATGTATACGTGTGCAGTTAACTATTCTCTAAAATGGATAGAAAGAGAGAATGCGCAAAGAAATGTAAAGAGAGGGACAGACATTTCGAACAATTTCAAGTTTTTTTTTTAAAACTTTCCAACAACAGATCTATTTGGAATGAAAGCTTGATCGAGAATCGTTTTCAAACAATCAAATCCTCCAAGCTATGTTGTTTGGTTGAAACAAAAAAACGGAAAACGCACGGAAAATACTTCCTTAATCAATAGAAACTTCAAAAATGATAATGATTATCTTATCATTGTCCATATAATCAGATGGGACTACCCCGGAGGATAAAAAACAGAAAGAAACTTCTCTTCATTCAATTTTTTAATTTCAATTTTCTCTCTCGCTTTCTCTTTCTATCTCTCTGTCAACCTATACTAGATATCTCTATCTCATCATAGTAAGATCAATCGATAAACAAAAATTAGAATACGTGACATATGACGTGAGCTTTTTTCTTCATTTTCACTTTACACTCAATGATGATCGGTTGCATTCCTTCTCTTCTTCATTCTCATCTTCTCCTTTATCCAACTTCTTCTTCTTTCCCTCTTTTATTTTTATTATTTTTAACTTTCAAAACCCTTGTGTTATTATAAAAGATGCAGAAATAAGGCTTGAAAACCCCAATGCCACCGACGGCAAATGTTTGATTCACGTTGTCGAGAAACACTTTGATGTTGCCGCCTTCTATGGATGACATAATTCAAACGCTTTGGATGAACGTCCACATCAGCTCATTCGTTCGAGCAGCTGGCAAGGTCAACATTCTGAAGCTAATGCTTCGTCCTTATCACTTTCATTTCAACAAACTGTTCGAGAAATTTCAACTCGTCCTGAATTCTCAAACCACTTTTTGAATTCATTACAACAAGAAGTGATGATACAAGACAATCAGATGTTCATCAACATCATCTTCAATGTTCTTCGCATGGGGGAAAGAAGGCAGAAGGAGAAAAAGACTCAAAGTGAGATAAGCATTGCAAGTTCAAAAAGAATGTGTCGTTCAGTTCACAAAGAACTATTTATCTTAGTTAGAGGGTGGTATGTAAGCAAGTTTGACAACTATCGACCTCACACATTTTGTTTCAAATTCTCTTTGATAACCGCCCTCTTTATCTTTCATCCTACCATCTCTCCATCCTCACCATCCCACTCTCCCTCTCAAACTCATTTCCCTTATAATTTTCTCTCAAAATTCTATGTCTTCTGTGCAATTTTAAATTTCGCAAGAAACAGCAGATGAATGGCCATTTTAAAAGAGATATATAGACCTATAATCGCATTGACACCTAGTAATTTTGCTTTTTCACATAAAACTGTATTTATGTGTTTTTGGACATTCTTTGTCCTTCTGACAACTTTCCTCTCTCTCCTCATCTCTTACCCATCCACTCCCTCTCTCTCTCTCTCTCTCTCTGCCCTAACCTACTCTCTTGTCCTACTCTCTGAGTTATGAAAGAAGATTCTCAAACCATCAATTACGGTAATATTTTTTAATTAAATATCCATAATAGGTATGATTTATATGGTCACAACTATAAACTATAAAACGACTCCTTCTTCTACTCGAAAAATGTTTTCTTCAAACAAACTTTTTGTTTTTTCTTTTTCATTTCAATAGATATGGTTAATCCTCTCAACCTTTCTCTTTCTCTCTCTCAATGAAGAAGAAGACCTTTCGGTAAGTAAAGAGAGATACATCCAAAAATGGTCGTAAAATCACCTTTTTATATCGGAAGTTGAGATGAATGGTAAAGGCGGTCATCTTAGAAGCATCAGAGATATTCATTTATGGCCATTTATGAATGTCTAACTATCGAATAATCTGAAAAAGGAATAAAATTCTTATGTAAACATGTATGTTCTCTAGTACTTGAGTTAACATCATTTCCTTGTTCAGTTTTTGTCTCTTAATCAGTTCTCCACAGATTCATCTCTTCTGTCTGTCAGGGTACTGAAAGAAAATGATAACCATCTTGTTGAATCACTCACAAGCGATCTCAGCGCACTTTTTTTTATGAGTTTGAAGTGATGTCAGGAGAAAGAGGAGAAAACGAACAAATCAATACTGATTGCAATTACATTCCACATATAAACTAATGAGAGGATTGATAAGTTAGTCAAAAGACAATGTAGACGCCTACTTTTCAAACTATAATATTATCATGACTAATGAACAGACACGGATGTCATATAGCCTCTCTGTGAGTGAGAGAAGACAGACTAGGAGAAAGCAAATTTTCACGGACCACACACCATAAACATCTCTTCTCTCGCTCATCTCTGATTACTACAATAGATTTTCGCTAATTTTCTGCGAAACAACTTCATTTGCCCTTTGTGCTTTCTTCATTCTTATTTATTTTTTCCCATCACTCTCCTCCTCTTCTCTCTCTCTCTCTCTCTCTCTCTCTTGTCTCTTACAATTGCCATTTCCATAAAATGCTCTCTTCCAACTCTAGCATAGATCAAACTCAAACTTTATGTGCCAGCTGTGTATTTTAAATGAAAACATATGACTGTCTGTTTTCTACAACAAACTAAATAATACTATTGATTATCTTCTTCCCGTCATCTCTTTAAAGAAAGGAAGAGAGAGAGAGAGAGAGACAGAGAGAGTGATAGAGAGAGAGTTTCCCGCCCTTCTCGCCTCACTGCTATCACTTGAGTTTCCTATTTTTTTATTCAATCAGCATAAACTCAATTGCATTACGTCATCACGTTTGACGTGAAAAGCTTCATTTTTTGAAAATGTGGCGCGTAGAGCGGTTGTGTTTCTCAAGCGTCTCAAACGCTGAAGCCTTTAATAGAAGCTTTCGTAACTGAATTCCTTCATATCTTTCTCTCTCTGAATTTTGCCAAAAATTGATGAGAAATTGTTTGAAGCAAGCCGTTCGTTATTCGATACCTTGATGATGAGACCTCTTGATGTGGATGTGTACCACCCGCCAAGTTTTTACGATATTCGGCTAAGAAGGCTCTTCATTCTTTCCGCCCATGATTTCCATCACAAACCTCATTCTATTGTAACGAGAAATGTAATATAAGGCAATTCTTTGGCCTTCCCTCTCTCTCTTTCCCTCTCTCTCTCTCTCTCCCTCTTATTGAACTATTTATAGCTTTTTTTAAATTAGTTAATCGTATTTTTAATTAACAAGCTTTCCGACCACGAGTTTTGATTAATCTGACTGAAACCAAATTCCAATCTTTAGCGGTTTTCTTCTTAACATCTCTTACTCTCCATCCTTGTTATTCATCTCGGACATATCGCCAAAATCTTCCTCAACATGTTTAAAGTGGGCGGTTCCTGTGGCAAGGGCGGAGCTCCCCCCAAATAGCTGGATGATATGCAACGCCATTACAGGCTCTGTATTCAATGCTAACTGTGAACTTGCTATTCTATTTGTTAAATATAAACTTTCTCTTATTCTTCTTCGAATTTTGATCATTACCCTTCTATCTGATTAGAAACACTTCTTATGTCGTTGATTCATCGCAGGCCGCCTCCATCCTACGATGGCCCATAAATTTTACGGCAGAAGAGCGGCCCATTTGAATGAGATCCACCCAGCTAGTAGTCTGGCTCGACCCATCTTCATGGTTATCTTTATTCTTTAATATGTGTGCGGGTGTGTACATACATATATGTATGTGCTTTGTAAACTACCAGCTGCCCATTATGCTTCACCATTAATTTTCATCACCATCTCCAGTAATTTTCGTGATAAGAACTAGCCTCTTTCTCGCTTTTTCTCTTTCTCTACCGCCCACGACACGTTCATCAGTCGAACATCATTAACCCTGTACGTACGAGCTGTGTCTCATGAAGTGCATACACGTTCGGCTGCAAGGTATATGATGCTTCTGACATCAACTTGTATCTTTCGTAATTCTATTGATAGAGATTGTCGAGGAGACACATCAAATGTCGTTGAGGTCATAAAATCATTCGTTGCTCTTTATAGAATATCAACTAGTAGGCTGCACAGCTTCCAAACATTTTTATTCAGCACAACACAAAAATAATGCTTTCTTAGGAGAAAATGCCTTTTTAGGCCATATTATTCGTCAAGGAGAAGAACAACACATCCTTCCTGCCTTGCTTTTGCTTGAACTGGTGAGGCTCGATGGTCTATAACACAACAGTTGATAAGGTTGTAAAACACTGTCTTGAACTCACTCTTAGAATAGCAGCAAGCTTAGTCACAATCTCTGACTTGGACATATCACCACATTTGGCTTTTACTTTGGTCAGCAACTCTTTCGTCGTATGAGGTTTTCTACGTAAGTACTTACGGACCGTTTCTTCATTCAAACCATCAGGGACACTACAAGAGCATTCATGGTATGATTATAATAGAAAAGGGCACTCACTTTGTCTCAGTCTTTGCCTTCTTTGCTTCTCCACCTGCTTCCGAACCAGCTGGGCGTTTTTTCGCAGTAGATGAAGCACCTTCTTCTAACGGCTCATCAGACTACAAGGTTTCAAAATATGTAAGAGTAGGATGAGAATAATACTGACCGGTATGAAGACAACGTGATCAATCTTTTCCTTATCGGGATCAGCGTCAGAATCACTACCAGAGGAATCTGAACAAGACGGTGTAAAACCTTATGAGAAATTAAGAGCTCTTGACCTCTCTCTTCGATATCCAAAGTATTCTTCTTCTTTTCATCTTGTCGGTTTAATAGTTTCTTAGCTGTAAAGAGGTACATAAAACTACAATGAAAGGAACTTACTGAAGTCTTCGTCTTCACTGTCTGTTTCTTCATCCGAGCCAATCATCTTCTTCAACCCAGATTCATCTCCAACTCCTACCAACTCTTTTTCGATCTTCTCTTCCAATTTTGGAATATCACGACTGAAAGAGAAGAAAAGCTTAAGTAACGATGGCGATCTGGTAAGAGCTGTGAGAGCAGAATCAAAACAAAAACATTTTGTGCAATTTCCGGACAAACACGGTTGTTTTCTTTTCATATGCTCTGCTCATGCTAGTTTTCACGGCTCCAAACTCGAGGAAATATAATCATAAGAGAGAAAACGAGAGAGAGAAAGAGAGCCGGAGGGCCAAATGTACTTCAGACATGCTATATCACAACGTTCGCAACACAGAAACAGAGAGAACAAGCAAGAGGAAGAGGGAAATAGGGGGGGACGGAGGAGAAAGAGAGATACAGCTTGTCACTTTCTCTTTTTGATTGCTGAATGATCTGCAAATATTCCTGAAACTGCCGCAGTTCTACGTATGAAAGCCCAATTAAAAAAAATACTAAATCTGCACTTTCTTATCACAATTATCGATTGGTCTTGAGAACCTTATAAGTTCAGAGTAGACTTCATCTAATCGATCAGCTGCAACTAAATCTTCTTTTTCTATCTGTCCTCTCACTCTCTTACACTCTTTTTTAGTTTTGTTGAAGGTAGGGATGGTTACAAAACGAGTTATTTGGCTTGTTCGCCATGGTGAGCGTATTGATAACATCAACCCTGATTGGAAAACAACAGCGAAGCGCTGGGATGATCCTCCATTGAGGTTTGAACTGTTTCATCCCATCCTTCTTACTCTCCTTCGTTTCTAGTGAACGAGGAGTTGTACAGGCTGGTGAAGTGGGACTGCGTCTCCTACAGGAAGACATTTCACATGCAATTTGCTCTCCTTTCACTCGATGTGTTCAAACAATTACAGAAATATTGAATTATAGAAAGGTTTTTCCTTTTTCTCAACCTTTCATGCATCGTTTCAAAGAATAAGCCGAAGATCCTCATTGAACCGGGATTAGGAGAATCATTAAACGCTTGCAATGATCCGCCTGGCCGTCCAGTGTTAGAAGAAATTCTGTATATTTCCCTTTATGTCAACTTAGCAAGGACCTGATTTCAGAGAGATCACACAGAACGTCGATACTTCTTATGCCCCGGTTTTCTCTGTGTTACCTCCAGAACAAGGTGGGGATGCAGGATGTTCGTCTCGCATTGAATATACAGTTTTGAAACTCCTTGAGAGATTTCCGACAGGTGAGCTATAGTGATAAGAGGGATATGAAGGCCTTTCTAGGGAATATCCTACTAGTATCGCATGGTAGTCCTATAGCAGCTAGTCATTTAGCGCTCATGGGATCATGGAACTATGTTGGTTTATGTACTATAGGTAAGGAGATAAGAATATAGAGATATAGGACTGTTTTGGTTTTAGGCAAGATAGTTCAAGAGGGACAGAGATTCAACTGTGAATACTACGGGGACAAAGAGCATTTATCTGATAAATCTAATCTGCGAGATGTGCAAGACGAGAGGAAAGCTCGTGAAGAAAGAAAGAGGAACTAACTCAGAATCAGATCCACTGTCAGACATGTAGTCGTACTCTCGACCCTCATCTTCTCCGTCCTCCGATTCGTATTCTTAGAAGATTCCGTTAGATCTTATAGTTTAGGTTTACTTACTGGCAACTTCATCCGAGTTCTCTACGCGTTGACGTTTGTCTTTCGTTGGTTTCTTAGTCTGGAACATTTTTGATTTTTTAAGAGTTTAATAGTTTTGTTGTTGTACCAATTTCTTTTTCTTAGCAGCCTTGGCAGCAGCTTCTTCTGCATCTTCTTCTTCATTACCTGATTCAGAAGAGCTGTGTTCATCTTTGATTTTCTGAATAGCACATAGATAAATATAGAAGTTCATATGTTAACTTACTAAATTACGAGATCGGGTTTCCAACTGCTCTCCGTCTTCTTCAGATTTTGTCAATTGATTCATTATTTGAGCTTTCAAAGCAAATTGATTCATAACCTTGTTACGTCTGAGATATATCATTGAGAAACAATAAATGCTCTAATCCTTACTGTGAAAATTTTTCTTCGGCTTGATCGATGTCAAGTGTTTTATGAGTGATAGCAGGGATGAACCGGTGCATATCATCTACCTTAAAAAACTTCCGTGAATAGGTATTCCGTCGGCACAAACCTTATAAGCCATGAAAGAGTCACCTTCTTTCACGAAGATCCAATTATCTGAGTGCCCATCTCCTTCTCTGATACTCCGCATTTGACGTTCACGATTATCTGTGTTAAATGTATGAGCAAAGTTGATGCTGATGGCATACCAGTATCAAGGAAGTTTAGATTCCAAGGTTGGTTATCCAGATGATATGTTCTGGCTTGACGTCCATATCGTTTTCTTCGTGCCTCTTCTCTGGCTGCCTTACCATATTCTGAACCCTCTCCGTATTCCTGAATCCGGATAATGAGTATTAGCAAACCAGAGCGTGGATGTTACCTGCACGGACTGAGTGCTCATAACTACATGTCTGTTATCTTCTCTTTCCAAACGAACTTCAGAGTCTGCACGAAACCTGAGAAAACGCATATTGCTACTCATAATGTATGTTTAAACTGACTCGGAAGGATCAACATTATCAGAATTACTGAATTTCAAGATTGAAAAGCGTCGTAAATCGTTTTTCCTGCAAAGGGGTTAATTAGCATAATACGTGAAATTCGAAGTGCGAGCGCGTCATTTTCAGAATGTTTTCGCAGAGAAGCGGTTGAATTTTTTTTTTTGTTGTGATAGAACTCCGTCTAATATTCGTATTTCAGTTGTGGAGAAAAGAAGAGTAGAAGGAGAAAGAAAAGAGCTTACCTAGGAACACGAACTACCAGTTCTTGGTTACTCCCAGACATTCTGAAGCAGATGAAGCATTAATACATTGTATGCATGTTTAAAGATATTGAAAATGCTTGAACAGTTGTAATCGTCGAACAGTTACAAGTTGAGAAAATATTATTAAAACAACAATATACCCGGCATTTCAGACATTATTCATCAACCAATTCTCAATCAAAAACATAACAAATAACAAACACCTAAGCCTAATTCTATTCGCTATAATCTTAGAAGTTGAATATTCCCTTCTTGCTTTGTAATTTGTGTTTAAGCACTTTGATCTTTATCACGTTAGCAATTTCCTCAGCAGTTCTGAAATCATCGAATAGGGATTATGAGAGGACCAATGTTCAAACCTATTCTGGCCATAGTAATCATGGAAGTTACCATCAGGATCTATCAAGTACATAATGACAGTGTGATCAACAATGTAATCGTCCGGAGTTGTCTTAGGACCTTGACTATGATAAACTCTGAATGTTTTTGCAACTTTGTTAACCTTAAGCATTTAATTTACATAAGAGCATCTTAGAAGATAAAACCTGTTCAACATCACCGGTATAGCCTTTAAGCTCTGATGAAAACTCAGCACAATATTGTTTGACTCGAGCCACGGTGTCTCTGGTGGGATCAACAGATATGAAGACGGGTTGAACAGGTACGGGATCAGCTTTTTCTTCTTTTAGAATAGAAACTACTTTGATCATCTTCTCAATCTCATCCGGACAAATATCAGGACAATGAGTAAAGCCAAAATACATCAGCAACCAGTTTCCTTTGAGTTGCTCGGAGCCTTCGACTTTTCCTTTAAAGCTCAACTATGATTAATTGATACAGATTAAGGAGTACCATCAGTGTTAACTAGTTCCCATTCACCACCTATTCGAGCTTTACCAGCTGTAAGCTTTCGCTGCTTCTCCCTCTCGTCTAACCTCTTAGAGAAGGATAAAGAATAAAGATTTACGAATTACGAAGACCTACCATTTTCCTGACATACAACAAAGCTAATAAGCAACTACCACCAATCAATAGAGTCGATAACGCTATTTTCCAATTGAATATATGGCTTCTCTGATGAGCTTTCCTCTGAACGAACATGTTAAGAGTTGGTATGACGAAGCTCATCAACCTCGTTCATACTTTTGAAGTTCATGAAGTTCTTGTCGACTCCATTCTCATCGAGGTTTCCTTCAAAATCCTTCTTTAACTTTTCACTAATTTTCTCCAGCTCTTTCTCAAGCTCATCTTGAGGAGCTTTTGTGTTTCTAAAAGATTTTGTTGTTTTGTGAACGATGATTGAAATTACTTCGAAGAACAAAGTCTAATGTTATATTTGCTTAAAGAAGCAGTCCGAAACAGACTCGTACGTACTGCTGTTCTCATCAATGGAACAACTTTCATTATCTGAATTTGTCATTTATATTTCATTCGAAGAATAGAGATAGCGAGAGAGAGTTAGTTCATATTTGTGTAATACATTCAAGAAATCATATGTTATGTTGTATATATAAGGGGTGAACGAAGCTGGGCGGAGCCTAGTGCTCCAGCTTTATTTGTAACTTCACGCTAGTTCACGTATAATAGAAAAAACAGCTTCTCTCTCGAAGGTTTTATTACATACCAACTAGGGAACCGTTAACTTAGATCCTTCATCAGAATCTTTTTTGTTAATTAAAGTAATTTAGGGGATCAAGAGGACATAAACGAAATCTTCCGCCTGTTCGCCTTCAGACATTCCGTCCTGCAATAAAAGCCTCCAAAACGAATGAAATTATAAAAACTTACTTTTATTAGTTGTTTAATCAGGTTCAATCACGGAACTATTGGAATCACGTCATTGTTATAAACGAATTGAACCGAAAAGCCCATACGACAATCGAATCAGGCTAAGCTTTTCATCCAAAAAAAAAACAGAAAGTAATCAAGCAAATATGGAAAAGGATTATGCAGGCTGAAAGAGTGGTTTCCTCATAAAGTCGCTGTTATAAACACATTTCATACAAAGATGCGCTCATTTTCAAAACAGATTATCGATTGGTCTCTTGATGCGAATCATACGACCTCTTTATTTCAAACTTTGAACGAGACAAGTAACACAAAAGTATATGCAAGCTTCACGTTGAATAAGAATTTATTCGCACAGCGGAAACGACCGGTCTATAGAACTCTTGAGAAAACAATGAACAGGGCACGTATAGTTTCACGTGGAACGTGGGTTTGAGCACTTGGTAAATTAGCATAAATTTCAAAATTCTTTAGTTTCAGCTACGACAGTGTTGAGATAGTATGCTTCATGGACTTCCTGCTTAGCTGACGGACTAACGGCACTTTCCTTTTGAAGTTCCCCTTGAGGAGGTCATGGAAATCGTTCCTGCAAAAACTCTGTTTCCGGTTAGTTCTTTCTTCTCCACCTTAGTTGTCTGCTGAATGCTATTAGGAAGAGAGGGCTAGTAAGGGTGGCCGCATCTGATACATAGGGATATCCTATCAGGGCAATACGACTGATTAACGTTTTCTTTTCCTTATCATTCGAAGCAAAAGCGAAGGCTACCTGTGAAGGATGTGTGAATGTATGTGATGTTTTTCCTTACCGTGCAAGCTGCAACAGCGCTTTGAATGATGAAGTGAGCGATGCTGGTGAAAAGCAAGGCGCTTTCAGCTCTGTTGCGGGACTTCCTTCTGATAAATAAGTAAACTGAGAGTAGATTAACTGCCAGAGTTAAGAGGGTGACAATTAAAATAAAATGAATTAAAGCTTTGTAGATTGGCTGAACGTCCTGAAAAAGCTTAGTTGAATAGTTCGCGGGGGCGAGAAAGTAGCTTACTCCGGCAAATCGTAGATAATACCCTTGTACTTTTGAAATATATTGGAATCTTGTTTCATCAAAGAATAAGTGATATGTGACTGTTAAGGGAAGGACGTAGGATGCAATTGAAAGAGGAACAACCAAGTTTGACCAAAGCTGAAACAACAAGTTAGCCGGAAGCAAATTCTTGGTTTTACCTTCTCATATCGTATAGGTTCGAAGATAGCTGTCAGTCTATTTAAAGCCATTATAAGCATCTGTGCTTGGAAGGTAAAGAATAGTTGGAAAGTCAAGAATATAAACTGAAGTGAGTTTTAGTAGGACAGCTCAAGTTGGAACTTACGATTGTTGTGAACGGAGAGACAAGAAACGTTCTGTAGATAGGTGAGAGGAAATTCGTTTCACTCACTTCTACTGGGATGCGAATAGAAACAAAGCTGTTAATAGCGATAATCAAGTTCTGAAATAGTCGACAGGTTAGTGTTCAGTCATTTTGGGGATGAGCTTACAGCTGGAGCTGATGTCAGGAAGAGAAGAAAGAAAGAACTTTTATATTGACTGCGTTTCGCCAACATGATGAAAAGTGATATGGTATAGATGATTATTAATGGTATTCCATAAAAGAGTTGAAATAAGATGATCCACCACATCTTCAAAGCTGGAAACAAGAGGGAGAAGCCAGAGCATGGACTATTTAATGAAAATCTCTAGTTGAACCAGAATTAATTTGAAATGGGCGAAATGAAACGTATCGCAGACACCATAATCTCGTAAAGAAATTCAGAGAGGGAGAGAGACTGGTAGAGAAAAAGCGAGGGAGGGAGACAGAAAGGCATATATGAATTCGATTCCTCGATTGGTTTTGCTTGGCTTCTGCTCATCTTTAGTGTTACCAAATGCATTTTCTTAACGAGTCAACAATGGTTCAGATATGTAGGTTGAAGGTCATAAACTCAGATGACGTCAAGAAATAATATCTTCAAATCATGAATTGGTAGATAATGTTCATTATGGCAACAATTGTTCTTTTCGATTTGACGGGATATTGCCAGTCTTATGGGATTGTTGAGGTCTGCATGAACTGTTGCTAAGATTGATTCTGAACTTTGTTTGCAGATGAAGATCACGGAAGAAAAATTGGGAGAACTTGTTTTTCCCAAATATGCACTCATCCCAAATTAGTGGAGATGCTTAATGGATTAAACAAATCCCCCGTTTCAACTCATCAATGCTTCAACTGTGTCAATATTTCAAAAAGTAAGGTTATAATACTTTTTCTAGCAAGCGAATATCGAAGTCCAGAGGGGAATAGACTAATTAACATTTTCATAGAGTTCTTATCCAAAATTCTATAGTCTGAAGATCATTTGTTGCAAATAGAAGGAACTTCACACTCATTCTTTTATTACCTTCGATGTGTTTAGTCTTGGCTTCTGCTTTTTTATCACTTCTCTTCATACTCCTTACAAAAGTTCTATAAGTGAACAGTTGCTGGAGGGAGCTTTCATCGATAGTGATTAATGACTAGGCTTCAGATCGATCTGTTTTCCCCTCATCTTCATAGTTTTATTAATTCGTACTTCAATTTTTGTTTCAGTTTCACAATAAAATGGATATAGAATTAGAAACCAAAGGAAATGAGAAAGATACAGTCGTCTACTATCACGACAACTTTGAGAACTACACAGGTCATGTGTTGCGAGTAAGCTTGATCTACCATCTACTTCCTCTTTCTCATAATCGTTTCAGGTAGCATCAGCCATAAGAGCCAATTTCTTGAGTCCTTCTCATTGGAGTATCGGCAAGATCATGAATGCTTCCATTGCTTCAGTTACGTTTGTCCTAGGTAATTTGCATAGTGCATTACTCATTATTCATGTATTTTACAGCCATTTACAGCTTGGCATTTTCGATCAAGACAACTTTAGAAGAAAAACACAGTCCTTACGAAATGGCTTCTCAACTGATGATTATCGCCTGGGCCATTCAAGCTATTGTTTCAATGGTATGTTTCAATTAGCATATCCATGTCACGTGGGTATGGTCACTCACGTGGATTACAAATTTCTCGTTCATTTCATTTCACGCTACGTCCGGAGCGGTTGCATCTTAACTGCTTAAAAAAAAGTGTATTGTTTTAAAAAATTTTCCAGGCGTTTTTCGTTTATTGGCAGCTTTTTGGTCATCTTCATTCTTACAATCGTCATGTTATGGGATGTCAACATGGTGCAGGACTTGCTCACGGGAGCTACCTCATCAAGTGTTAGTTCAACATGCTCAAAAAAAGTAAAACAAAGTTTTTATTCAGCCAATATTCTCTGGTTCTACCTGATTCTTGTATTGGAAGTATCTGTTATTCTGTTGTTCGAGGTGAAGTTCTACGCTGAATCTTCTCACTCAGAATTTGTGGAAAAACGAGCGCACGTAAGTACGTATCAATGTTTCTTAAACGTCATTTCGTTATCTTAAGATGTTTTACTTCAAAGAACTACGACTGATAAACACTGTCGTAACCCTTTACACCTATCTGACTTGGCATATAAGTATGTTTTTGTATATCATGTATACGAATACAGCCTTCATTGAAATTCGTTACTTCAATCAGCAAGTCTCTGAGGTAGTGCTTGATGCACTTCTGATATCATTTTTCTTTATGCAGTTAGATGGGTCTAGTCCCAATGTGGAAAATGAGCTGATCAGAAAGTTAGAAGTTTACGGACGTCTTGCTGGAGTAGTTCGAGAACTGGACAGAATATTTAGAGTTTGTTTTCTTTTCCGAGAAAGTTCAAACTAGGCAGTATTTTCAGCTGTATGCTTTCATCATGCTTCTAGTCATCATTCCTTCTGTTATTTTCACTCTGATGATGATGAACCAAAGAATTCACAGGTGAAACATCTCATCTATCAGTATCAGTGCCTGACTTTCCATTTCAGTTTCCAAGATTTGATCTTGTGTTTGCCATCGATAGCCTTGTGTGCTTATTCCTTCCTAGGCATTACTATTGCTCCAGCTCGTCTACATGATGAAATAAATCGATCCAGATCTTGTTTATTTACAAATCAGTCCATATGGTTTCCATACCGAAAAGATGTAGGTGTTAACATGTATATCTTTCTAGAATTATTTTGTCAGATTTATCAAGTGGCAACGACGCTGTGTCAGCATATGGAGCAGTACGATTTGGGTATTTCCATCTGGGGTTTCGCAATCGTATCTCGGCCTTTCATTTTAGCGGCAAGTTTTAATGAAAAGAATTAAAATGAGTGAAATGAATCAAATCTTCAGACTTTCTCTGTTATGGCAATGGTGTTATCGCTGTTGATAGAGCTTTCTCCTCATCCTACTCTGCTTCATGATACACATAATGTCACAAAACTTTGAAACTTTATAAATCTGCAAGCATTCTGTTCATCATCTGTCCGAAAACAAAGCAAAGTAATATTATACTGTTCTCCTTTCTAGTTTTATCTTGTCGAAGTAGGCGGAATTTGAATAGTAATCGGAGAGGAGAGCTTCATCAACGGAAATAGAAATATTGAAATGTCGATCGGCTCTTTCCTTATTGAGTTTGATTATTCTCTTTCTTTCAAAGAATCGTTGGAGACAGCAGTATGAGCAACCTTTCAGCATTTTTTCGAAAAGTCAATGGCTCATTAGAAGATTGCCAAGCTTCCCAGATGAGTTCTTTAAAGCGGGAAAGAAGTACTTCTTCCAAAAATTCTATCAACTACCGTCCTCCTACCCCTCTCGGTCATGTGGAAATTGAAATCGAAGGGCTGGAAGCTGTTTGTAAAGACCATGAGATTGAGACATATTTTCAGAAACTTATACAGGTTTGAAAAAACTTTTTTCTCGTAATAAACGTATTCTTTAGATCACAAAGTTCAGCGGATTGCTATTCTCCCCGAACGGATCATATCTACAATGGTGTATAAACAGCATTATCAACATTTTCGTGGTGGCCCTAGGTAAACTTGACTCGTATATTACCATATAACTTCTCAATGCAGTTACCTGGGTTTTAATCTTGGAAATCCAACTAGTCTCTTCTGAAAACCTGGACAAAAACTTGGAAGTTTCGACAGTGCTGTGTGGCATTTTGTGGACTGCTCAAGCTATGATATCAATGGTTTACCATGAACTCATGCTCTAGACTTACCCAATTGTTCAGGCTTTCATCATTTGGTGGCAGGTGCATGGCGATGTATGGGAATACATTATCAATGTGTCAAAATCCCAGAGAGGAGCATGTATAGCAAAAGGATCAAGAATACTCTGCCGTGAGTCAGTTTTCACTTTATTTCTAGTCGACGCTTCAGGCAATATCATCGCATTCCGGTTGATCAGTGGCTTACTGCTGGTTTTTATACTTTTCGTACACTACAACCCTTACATGGATCCTTTTGATAAGTATGACGTAAGATAAGTAACTTGAGTATAAAAGTAGCTTTAGTTTACAGTTGACTCACCGTCTTTTCACCAAGTTGTTACACAGCTACACCACTCTTCACCTGATTTCTTGCTGGAATCTAGCTATATTCCTCTTTAATATGTTAATAGATGGAACTTATCTGGAAGTCAAGCATTTCAATGATGTTGTGTCCGAAGTTGGTCTATTCGGAAGTATCTCTAAAGCGAAGCTACTTGCAGCTTGATGGAACGGACGAACCGTACATCAAAAAGCAGCTCTTGGACCTTATAACAAGGCACTCTGGGATCGTTAAAGCCATCCATGGACTAGACAAGCTGTTCAGAGTATAGTTTAAACACAGTTCCAGTCGCAATACATTTTTTTTAGGTATACGCTTTCACAATGATTGCCACTATGATTCCGACAACCTTAGTTTGTTTAATAATGTTGGCTCATCGTGTTGATGATTATACAGATCTTCTTTTATTCGGTAATTCAAAAAAAAATTGGGCATGACCCCTCTCCTTGTAGACAATTGTTGAAAAAAAAAATGCAACCGCTCACTGCTTATCTTATGCTTAAAAATAAAAAGCGTTCCACGTGAGAATTTTACGTCATAAACTTACGGAAAAAGCTCACGTGAGAACTTCCACGTGAACATAGAAGAAGCGAAATTTGAATATAGCATAAGTATAGTAAAAGTGGAAATAAACTATCTAACTGTAACTTTTTTTTGTTTAGGCTTGCCTTCTCTGATCATAACCGTCTACGGTTTCCTCGGATTAACGTTGGCTCCTGCACGTCTCTATGAAGAGGTGAGACGCAGTTTTCTTTCAGTCTATCAAGTGATTCAGATTTATCGCTCAAAGAACTGCTTATGCCAGAATGTCAAGATTTGGTTTCCTTACAGAGCAGACGTAACATAATCTAAATCGTTATCAAAATGAACTTATCAATACAGGTATACCAAATCGCCACTGTTCTGAGCTCTCACATGGACCAACCGAACATGGGGATGACTATTTGGGGTTTTGCTGTTCTCTCTAAGCCTCTAATTCTTGCGGTATGAAACTCTTCTCAGCAACTATAATACTTCGAAATACAGACCTTCTCCGGAATGGTTATGATGATGTCCCTTCTACTCGACATCGTTCCGACAATTGAGGAGATCGTAGAAGAAAACGAAGAAGAGTATCATAGTTTGATGAACTCCACAGTGTTCTGAGCGCACTCTGAGACTCTGATAAGAGATAAAAGATCAATAATCAATTGTTCTAAGTAGAACAATTGAACGAGAGTTGTAGATTGTACCGTAACAAATCCATACAGAGGGGTAAAGGTACATCAAAAAAATGGTCTCGAAGATCACATGTACCCATTTGTCGTTGTAAATAAATGTTTCTTCTTCTCTATATTCAGAGATTGATTGCTTTCAAATTTTAATTTTCTTTTATCAAATATATGAAGCGTCTTAATTATTCTCTGCTTGAAGTCTAGGGTGCGTGTCGTGGTATGTTCTAGAGAAAATGATGGATATCAATACTTCTATGGGGCCAGCAGTTTGCCGAGTTTGCTTATGTGGAGAATCATCTATTCCTTATTTGGGTAAATATGCGGGTGAACCGCTTATATCTCCCTGCCATTGCAAGTATGTTTAATACAATTATTTTTCTACCAACCTTCACACAAGGGGTACGATGGGTTTGTACCATCGAAGCTGCTTAGAGCATTGGTTGTCCACTTCTAGAACGACATGCTGTGAAATTTGTAAGTTCAAGTATGAAGTAGGGAGGTGAGTATTGTTGTGATATTCTGGATAATGCTGTTTTTCAGAAGAAAGCAAGGCCTGAGTGCATATTTTCGAGTACGAGGATGGCGTGGTTCAGAAGGAGCCAACAAGCGTTTCATTACTGATGTGTTGTGTATGATGTCTTTAGGGCCTACAGCCATGTACATAACATACTTGTGTGTTCACACAGCTCTCACAACATACATGTCACCAGATATAAATGATAGAGGAGCTTTCACAGCTTCAGGTAGGTTCATTTACTTTAAATTCTGCATGGCTGATTTTGAGAGGTGGTCGTCTTAGTTGTTATGGCCGTCTTCGTTGTGATGATTTATGTGTTCTGGCTTGTAATGACTATCTACCATCATTATTCGGAGTTCAAACATTGGCAAGGCAAGAACGAGGTAGAGAGTCGCTATATTACTCATGCTCAAGCTATGATTCAGATACTTTTCATTGTGGACCAGCTTGATATCGAGCTGTCTCAACAGTATAACACGACATACAATCGGCTGAGTGAATCAAGGCGACCATTGATTAAACGCAAACTCCGTTCTTTCCTGGTTAGTATTCTGTTTTTTCTTATATGGCCTATAATTATGTTGCAGACTGGACTATGCTGCGGCAAACGTAATTCCTCTTCAGCTATCCGCATTCGTGACACAGCATTAGATATTAATCCCCACATTATGGGCGCTTTGGATCGTCAAATGGTTTGTTCTTTCCCATTTCGCAAACAATTACCTGTTGTTACTGATGAATCGTAGAATATGCACGTGGACTTCTGGAATCCAGTTGACATGGCCTCTGTCCCTCCTCCAATGGTTTATCGACAGCATAATCAAGATCTTCTTTCCACCACCAATCCTACCTCAAGTGTATCACCGCTTAGACATCATAATGCCAGCGCTCTTTACCGAGGTTTCTTTCGCTTCGTCTTGTGTTTGAAGAAAAATTGATTGTAGATGCATCTCCTGTGGAAATGTCATCTTTCCGAGTGGCTTGTACAAAGGAAAGTGGATATTTGCGTAGATCACCTACTACTCCGAAAACTACTCCCGTCACCATGTCTGCTACTTCTTCTCATAACTATGATGTACCGCCTGATGCTGTAAGTACTTCTCATATCCTGGATAGTCACTTATCCGTTTTTCAGTTGTACTCTGAAGAACCAATAGAGACAGCTAGAGCTTGTGACATCAGTCCACAGGTTGGGATGTGGAATGTTCAGTTGGATTCTCCTCTTCTTAACTCTACTGAAGTATATGACAGTCCCAGTTCTGTAGAAAGAGTTTTGCCTCGTAACTGGAGAAGAAACATGTCACCACTTGCTTTGGACTTCGCTCCAGCTTCTCTTGAAAACCATGGATTCTCTCTGGATGGTAACCGCATGCAGCAACATCAGCAACAATCCCATCAAGCTGTACAGCAATCACCGGACGTAATACCAAACATATTCTCCCCTGCATTAATGCGTCCGTTACGATTTAATGAAACACCCATCTAGACTTCTAACCAATCTACTAACCGGTACCTGTGATTTCTTATCGAATTTAACCCTTTGATGTCATAGGTTAACCTGATAACTTTCATACTATCATTTCTGAATGACAACTAGAAATATTTTTTGATTTCTACCTTTTTATATTCTTGTGCATACTTTCATGTTCTAACTTTTCACAGGTTCTGTCTTATCAAACTGATTTTGTCTTTCTTCGCATAAATATAGTCTTTCATCTCTGTTTTGACTCGTGTGTAACATTTCCTCCAAGGTGGTTTTACCTTACACTATTTTTTTTTGTTATATTTCAATACAATCGTTCCTTCTTAGATGACTATCGAAAGCGAAAGTGATGTAGGAACGTCCGAACAGGAAACAATCGCCAAATCATCGTTGGTAGTGATTCATTTGTTCTTTTTTCATTCCATATTTAGATTGCAGATGAGGATATTGAGCAGGGGACGTCTGATGACAAGAGTAAGAGATGTATAATTTGTACTCGCACTGTTGCATTGGAAGATAAAAACCGTTATTGCTCTCCGTGTGAATGCAACCTGTAAGTATTCAGCGGCCGTTCTTCGAGAGATTATCACACTATCATCATTTAAGAATAGTTCACATCAATTGTGCTCTCAAATCAGCAGCCTGGGAAGAACATAAGTGCGAAACATGTGGATGGCCTTATCGCAAAGTACGCTTCTGAGTTGTAACATGGCTCTGTATGACACTTGTTCCAGACCCTCAGTGATATAAGACTCAGTAGAACATGCTTTATCTGTCAGAATGACAAGTATCCTGAATCCAAGTCAACTCTCCACGATAATCAGTTCATCCGACCATGCTTTTGCGAGTGAGTCACTTGCACTATATATCAAAGTTAAAGTTTTTGCTATAGAATGGATTGTCATCATGGCTGTCTAGCGAATATCATAGATACTCACAAGTCGTGTCGTTTATGCGGAGTCAAGTATCGTTATATTAAGGTTCCACAAGTTTCAATCTCCCTCTGTTCACTCTCTTGTTGCAGTATGGATCAGTGAAAGATTATTTCAACCGATATTCCTGCCAATATGCATGCTGTTTCATTGTGTTCGTTCTTTTTGCTGGCTGCTCAATCTATTCTCTCTTACATGGTCTGAGAAAAAGTGATCAAATGACTTCATCTCAGCTCAGTGAGCTTCATCCCCAAAATATGGCTTTATCCCTTTCATTTCAGGCTTGATCGTATTAGGATTTGCCATTGGAGTATTAGCTTTAACTTTATGTTTTGCTTGTATCAGACACACTTTCATCTATAAGTTTCCGCGGTTTCGTATACGATACGGCCAAATTACGATTCTCGATTACGACCCACTTATGGCGACTTATAAAAAGATTAGAAAAGTAAATTGCGATAAGGCAAACTCGAATGTATACTTAAGTTTCAGGCTGATCATAGTGCTGTGGAGTTGTCCCAAGTACGAGAAGAACGCGAAGAGTTCGTTCCATTCGGATCACGTACTATGCATGCCTATTAAGTCTATTCTCAAACAAAAATTATCACTTATATGATTGCTTGTATGTCTTCGCGTAAAACGGGTGAAATTTATGATTGATTAAGCGAATTAAAATTAAATTTTTTTATTGCTACTCACTGTTCTATGAGGTTGAAACCATATTATCGTTTTAACTGTTCTTGAATGCTAACCGTCCGGTGCTCTACTTCATGCTAAATGAATTCTAATTGTAACGTTTGAATTAGATGACAATCTGTTCTACAGCGTATCTTTGATGTATAGTGCATGAGACTAACGCAGGCGACAATGTTTGGTTTAACGTCCAGTGGCTGTTGTACAGCTTGATGAGATTGTCGCTGCATGCGGTTACCATCCAAAGAGAATCCATAGTTTTGAAGAGAAACTGAAGCGAAGCCCACTGGTGACATGTTTCTTCTCCAGTTACGAGGCAAAACTCTTTCTACAGAACTGGGACTGTCGTAAACTTCAGTAGAGTTGAGAAGAGGAGGATCCAACTGAACATTCCACATCCCAACCTGTGGACTGATGTCACAAGCAATAGCTGTCTCTATTGGTTCTTCAGAGTACAACTGAAAAACGGATAAGTGACTGTCCATGAAAAGTATCTGAATCGTAGCTTGAGCATGAGATAGCATGTATAGTAATATAGCAACTCTCTACTTCGTTCTTGCCTTGCCAATGTTTGAACTTCGAATAATGATGGTAGATAGTCATTACAAGCCAGAACACATAAATCATCACAACGAAGACGGCCATAACAACTAAGAAGACCACCGCTCAAAATCAGCCATGCAGAATTTAAAGTGAATGAACCTACCTGAAGCTGTGAAAGCTCCTCTATCATTTATATCTGGTGACATGTATGTTGTGATCATATGTTGTCATCTGAAGTTTCCTACTCAATATCCTCATCTGCGATCTAAATATGGAAAGAAAAAAGAACAAATGAATCACAAAATCAGTTTGATAAGGCTAACTGTTTTTGAATGCTAACCGTCCGATGCTCTACTTGCTGCTGTAATGCTAATTGTAACGTTTGAATTGCGCGGGAGCGGTCGATACGCAGGCATGGGAGCTGGTTATAGTCGCACGCGAGCGTGTCTTTCGGTTGCTAGGTCAACGCTTGGTACTTTTTCGTTTTGTTTTTGTTTTCTCGTTTTATTCTTTTTATCTATATTAACTTTATTGTTTAGGTTTCAATTCCTCGTCCTAAATTATTTATTATTTTGTTAAATCATGGCCGTAAGTTGAAATCGATCAGTACTGGAAGTAATGAGTTATTTTCAGTTCTATGGAGAATCACATGATAATGCTTACAATCCTAGAACTCATTCTAAGGTTGCAGAGAAAGAAGGTTTTTCTATGGGAAATGACGAACCAAAAACTCTGTTAGTTTAACATCTTTTTAAGTTTTACTTTATCCCGCTTAAGATATGTTGGCAATCTTGACTCCTCAGTCACAGAAGAGTTCATCGCCACTCTTTTCGGACAGATGGGAGTTGTAACGAAGACCAAAGTCATATTTGATGTAAGTTCCTTTCTTTTCAGTTTCAGAAACTGTTTGCCGCGAGTAACAACTAATAGCATTGCTTAATTTCATTTTTTTATTTTCGCAGAGTAGAAATTAAGAGCAAAGTTTTAAATCAGCTCTTTGTTTGATATCGAACTAGAGTTCTTGCTATTATTGCGTGAGCGGGTGAGCTTTGAACTATTCTTTTTCTTTTTTTTTACTTTTCGATTTTCATTCTTTTTATTCTATTCCTCTCTTTTTGGCTCAGATGTCCCTTCTCAGGTGGCCGTTCCTCGCCCGTCTGTGGTCGCATAAATATCACCACCGTGTTCTTTACCGGCTGACAGAGTATATATTTAAACTCTACGCTTTTATTTTTATTTTATTCATTTTTCGGAAATTCTAAGCATTATTTCATTAGGAAAAATTGTTTGGGGATTTTTTTCAGCGTTGTTAGAACGTTTCATCGTTTGTCGTTTTAGGGAACCAACGATCCTTATGCTTTCGTCGAGTTTTCCGATCATTCACAAGCTGCTCAAGCCTTACAAGCTATGAATCGCCGGATGCTTTTAGAGAAGGTTCGTGGCTTCCCATTTGTCCTGGCAAATGTTTTCTTTATAGGAGATGAAAGTAAATTGGGCAGTCGAACCTGGCCAGCAACAAGCTAAAGTTGATACAAGCAGTAAGTTGTTTTGTTTTATTGCGCTCATGTCAGATTTTTTCCTTGTAGAACATTTCCATGTGTTCGTGGGTGATTTGTCTCCA